CCCCAGCCTTTTAACAGTATCTCCCCGCCTGCTCCCCACTGCACCACATAATACACTGGATCAGGGAGAATATCAATGTAGTTATGCCGCTTTGAAAGACTGCGTGCTGTTAGTGGACGGGGGCGGCATTCTTGGATGCGGTTGATGGTTTCCGACTCGTGCTTTCGGGTCCTCAGGACCCTCAGGACGGACTTGTGAAAGAGGGCTGTGTTCGCATGCTTTCTCAAACTTCACTCCCGGCCCCTTGCTAGCCATCACGCCCCTTCAAATACATTACATTTGAGAGACCAACACGACCAAGCGCAAACCAGTAACATGTTCTAATAAAATCAACCAGATTTTATATTTTAAAGGCGTACAGGATTTTTCTGCCTTTGAAAACTTGTTTCCATACATGTGTTGTACACCCATTTGGAAATTTGGACCACATTTCGATTGGCATCACTTGAACACTTTTGGGATAAATTTTGACCTTTATTTTCCTTGAAGCTTTCCCAGAATTTGTTATATGACAAAGTGGATTTGTAACATTTGCTAAATGAAACTAGAAGGTCACTGACACTTGTTTTAATATTTGTGTTTCATATTTTGGGATGACTTATCAGTGGATTAAATCACAAATTGCCCAACTATTAAGAACTTAAAAAAATTTACGCCTAACTACTTTGTAACTTTGTGAGTTACATGGTTCTTTTGTCGTTATTTTTAGATCTTTTTAAGGACTAGCAAAAATCAATGAGATATATAATGATTTTTCCATTAGGAATTTTGCTTTCTGTTAAGAGTGTTTTAAAAAATGGCATTCTAGGATGGCATGAAGAAAAGCTTGAGTGTTTTATTTTTTGAATGGGGTTTCTGACATAGAAGTAACATTTCCGATTCACAATTCTTGTTTCTTCCACAGCAATATTAGGGGAATTAATACAAAGCAAGGAGGACTAAAGTTAGGTCTTCATTTTTTAAACAAAAACCTGTAACATGCTTCAGCTTGGGGAAGGGCAAATTTATAGAAGCTTAGACTAGAATGAGTAGGGCATTGATGCATGCATAGAAAATTTCTTTATCACCTTTCTTCCAAATGCTTTTTTTAGAAATTCATTTATTTGGTAATTTTTTGTTTCATTTTTAGTCTTCTTTTAATCGTTTAGAGAAATAATAGTATTAGAATGGACTAAAGTATTAGATAATAGTAATAAAAATAGTAATAAATAATAGTATTAGAATGGACTATTTCCGTTTCCTAGAAATGAGCTGGTGGTAGACAAAACCAAGAGGAAAAAAAGAAGAGAGCTCTCTGAGGAACAGAAACAAGAAATTAAAGATGCTTTTGAGCTGTTTGATACAGACAAAGATGAAGCAATAGATTATCATGAATTGAAGGTAATCTAAAATGTGTATTTCTTTTATAATGACTTGCATTGTTACTTAAAAATACATTTATAATTTTTACTAAACTGGTTTTGAAGCTATGAAGCCATTTAAAAAATCATTTTATTGAGGGCTCGTACAACTCTTATCATCATCCATCCATCCATCCATCCATCCATTGTGTCAAGCACATTTATATGTTTGTTGCCATCATCATTCTCAAAACATTTGCTTCCCACTTGAGCCCTTGGTCTCAGCTCATTTTTTCCCTTCCCTCTCTGCTTCCCCCTCCCTCATGAACCCTTGATAATTTATATTATTTTGTTGTAATCTTAACGTTGTCCGACGTCTCCCTTGAAACCATTTTAAGCTACAAACTTTTAAAAGTAGTATAGCAAAACTGAATACTACCCCTTGCCTTATTTGTCTTTTAGAAAATCCTTTTTACAAGCACTTATTTTTTCATTCAAGTAGTTAGAATATTTTAAACTATGGGAATTCCATGTCAGTGAGTTTACTATATTCTTGCCCCCCCCCTTTCCCCCTAGATTGGGGTAGTGTTTTAAAAATTTAACATGTTATTTAAAAGGTTTCAATGTACTCCCCCTGATGCAAACAACACAAATAACATCTGATATTGACATCATGTTAATGGGGGAAAATGTCAACTTTAAGGCCTAGAATTATTTATAAACATACAACAGGAAACAGTTTTAAAATATTTTGATATTTAGTTAAAGCAGATAATGAGATATTACAGTCATCTTTACATGTAAAGTTCAATGACATTATATTCATAATGCTGTTCAGCCATCACTCTATGGGTCTCAAATTAGAGAGAAAAGGTAGTTTCAGGTTGCTTTTGGTGAATATAAATACTGGCTAGTGTTTTAACTGTAACATTGTAAGGGATTTTCAAGCATGTTTTCTGAGTAGGGGAAGTAACTGTAGGGGCAGGAGAGAATGTTTAAAAATAATAATAGGCCAGGAAGTCTGACTTTCTCAATCTTGAGGTCCTCTTCGCTCTCTTGCCACATCTTCTTTTAATTACCCAGCTTTGATCATTGTCTTCCTTCCTTGCTCTTGTTCTCTTGAGTTGGAATACTAGTTTATATCTGGAACTTTCTAAATGATTTCCCCACTTGTACTTAACTGTACCTACCAGTAGTTTAATGAAAAAAAAAGTTTCTCTGTGCCAATCTTTAGTGCACACTTTCTATGAACATTTTCTCTTCTGGCTGAACTCTTTCCACTTAGGTCGGGTAAGCTGCTCTCATGGTTCCTCAACTCTGTGCCTTTCTTTGATGTCTACTTTAGTAACTCGTCATCTTTTCCAAAATGCCTGTTTACTATTCTTCATCTATCCATTGGAGACCAACTAAAATTTCTCTCTATAAAATGTTTTAAACCAGTAGTATTGTTACTAGTAACAATATCACTTCTTCCTCTAATATCAGGGTATCAGACTACTTGATAGCTTGTTAGGTAGAATCTGATGGTAATTTTTATTTCAATGGATTCATCTCTTACTGTATAACTATTGATATTTATATTATATCTTTTCTTATTTAGCTGATAATTCCATGAGAACAGATAGCTTGTTAAAATTTTTTGCTTGCTAAGTCAGTGAGCTGGATGATACATTCTTTAAATACATATTGATTCATTTGTCATGTAAAAACAGTAAATGACAGGGAATATTAATTTCATTAATGAGTAACAGTAACAATCACTTTGTGGTTTTTGTGAGACATAAAACATATAAAAGAATTGCATGCTTGTTAGCATGATGACTCCTGAGATGTACAAACTTATTTAGGAATTAGAAATCACATTTTTTGTAGAGTATTTTATAATTTTTTTTTTGGAGTACTTTATAATTTGCTTTTCCCTTTTAATCCAAAAGGTGGCAATGAGAGCCTTGGGGTTTGATGTGAAAAAAGCTGATGTACTGAAAATCCTTAAAGATTATGACAGAGAAGCCACAGGGAAAATCACCTTTGAAGATTTTAATGAAGTTGGTGTGTATCTCAGTGATCTTTGTATTCAACAGTTGTTTGAGAATAATATGGCCAATAGGAGTTTTTTTTTAATTGTTAGGTTATGGAATTTAATATAGAACATTGGTTTACAATGTAGTACAGTTCAAGTATTTATTATTTCCTGATTTTTAAAAACTTTGCTGTGTTTCTACAATTTTGTTCTGAAAATTCTAACCCTGGAATTAATATAGTAGCTTTGTATGGAAAGATATCTTAGCAAGTAATGTGTGGTTATAAAAATAAAAGATAGGTGATCCAAAATTTTTTTTCTCTCAGTAAAACAAAAAGTTCAGTATACTGTTGTTCATAAGCTATTCTCCAAACCTTTCTGGTATGCAATTTTTGTTGGCAAAGTCGCCAGAGAAGAAACACATCAGTTCGCATCTTTTACTATAAATGAAGGTTGGTTGTCAGGGTTGACAATGTTTAGCTGAAGGAATACATTCCCTGGATGACCTTGATCTTTTGAATATGAAAATCTATTTAGAGTTGGGACTGTGGGAAGAGGATGGTTGTAAGGGAGGAGTTGGCTGGCTACAAATGGGAGACATTTTAGAATGACCAATTAAAGATAAAGTGTTGAGGATTTTAACTGGCTGAATTTTTTATATCTTTGATTTTAATGAATTATTCTTCAGGAGAGAGGGTACTGAAGGCAAGGAATTTGCTACTACTGCTTTAATATATTGTTTGGAATATTGTGCTTTGAGTGTGTACTTATTCAGGTCTGTTTTATCATAGTAAGACCCATGTCATAGCACTTTTGTGAGTTAGTGTAATGTATAAGCATGTCAGAATTATTAGATATATTTTTAAAAGTTGGGGCATATTCAATTTTATACAAACACCCCCTATTTTAAATATTCAGCAAGAGGCAGAATAGGAAAGAGAGAAAATGAGAATAATAGATAATGATAGTAGATTGATATCATAAATAATTTTTAAAGAATAAAATTTGAAAGCTCAAACAAAAAAGGTGGTGAAGGGAAGGGATGCTTCTAAAAGAAAGTAACCACAGCACAGAATATCCCCAATGTTTAGATTACTGGTTAAAGAGGCACTTTAGCTCTTGGGGGAGCTTATTGATTTTTGCCTTTTAATCTGTAGAATTATTTACTTGTGGAGGAGAGAACCACTTTTATTCTTCCACTGTGGAAGCTCTCCAGGGGTTTACAGTCATAGTATTCCAAATTTCAACTGAAATTGACTACTTACAGAAATAGGATGTTAGAATTTAGTGGAGATGGTACTATGTGGTTAGAGTTTAACCGTGAGAGCTGTAATTCAGGTGCAATTAGTATGTTATAGTAGTTTTGCAAAGGAGCCATGGTGGTGCTGTGGGGTAGGCAGTGGACTGAACATCTCCAGTTTGGAGGTCCAGACTCACCAACCACTCCTTGAGAAAAAGATGAGACTGCTCCTTTAAAGATGTAAAGCCTTGAAAACCCGCTATAGGGTCTCCGTGATCAAAATGCACTCTGTGGCAGTGAGTGATTGCCTGGATTCAGAGACTGCATTTGCCACTTAGTAGCTGTATAACTTGGTCATTGGCCTTTCTGTGTCCCATTTTTCTAAACTATAAAATGAGGATAGTGAGTAAGTAAATAAGTATATGTGACTTGATTAGAAAAGGACTTACCTTGTGTATAGTAAGTGCTATCATTACTTAAAAAAATAGTTGTCTTGGTTTCATTTATTACAGGTAACTGGAAAGCATTTATATCACTAGACAGAAAAACATTCTACTTTAAGTATTTATATTTGTATGATAGTGTTTTATAATTACAGACTTTAAGTGCTGTATAATTATGACTTTTGACAGATAACTGATTTTAAATGATTACCAGTTTTAAATTGTAGTCTTAGGAATAATTGAGAGCCAGAGTCCCATTCCGTCTCCACCTTTTCCTGTCACCATCTTCTTTGTTAGTGACAGGGCACAAAGATTGACTCAACGATCACCCTTTTGACAGGCTCAGCAACACATGTTTGCTATTATAAGGCTATTTGTTGAGAAGAACAGTTTCAAGTAAAACGTTTTTGCAGATTAGAAATCAAATTATCAAAGAGCTATCTTGTCTCCCTATTTGTTAACTATTTTTGAATTAATGACTGACTGCAGCTGGATGTGTGCTTCCTACTCTGGGACAAGTGACTAGATCCAGTGTGTCTTTAGTTTTATGTGCCACTCTTACTGCTGTCTAAGGCAGCCGTTCTCCCCCTGTGGGTCATGACCCCTTGGGGGTCGAACAACCCTTTCACAGGGGTCGCCTGATTCATAACAGCAAATTTACAGTTATGAAGTAGCAACGAAAATAATTTTATGGTTGGGGGGCGGGGGGTCATGACAACACAAGGCACTGTATTAAAGGGTCGTGGCATTAGGAAGGTTGAGAACCACTGGTCTAAGGTAATACAACCCCACAGGTATTTATCGATGAATAAATCTGATATTTAAAACTTAATTTTAAAAAAAACCCCAAACTGAATTTCTCCTAAAGCTAGAAAAATAGTATTGACACTATATTTAATAAGTTTAGACTCAAAATAGCCTGAAACTAGTGGGTAACAGCAGGTGTGTAGGAATTGGTGCCTTTACAATAAAATCAAGGTAAATAGATGTTTGTGCTTTTGTCAAATTTTGGCATGTGCTATTTATTTAATTGCTTATTCAGAATAGAATATTGTATTATTTTGATTTTGCTTATTCAACAGCCATGTGCTGATTTTTTTTTCTTATTTAACAAACATTTGTTGTTGTTTTTTTAGGTGCTATGCTGGGGTGAAGGAGGGAAAGTACTAGAAGGTTATTAAGTTCTTTTTAAAGACTCATAATTTAACTGTAGCTGAGAATAAACTATGATACCATGTAGTAAATTATCATTCTGAGCAGCCCTTTCAGAGTAAGGATGGTATAGATAAAATCAGAAGAGGTATGTTAAAAAGTAAAAATGTTAGTGTCCTTAGGACTGTAAACTTGGCTCACTGATTAGGTTTATGGGATTTAAAATATTGGGATCTAGCTGTTCATTATGCTGAGGTGGCGAAGCTGGAGAAGCAGTGGCAGCCACCTTGGTCATTATGGGAAGAGTTTGGATTTCAGTATGTGAGTTAAAAGTAACTGTTTGTGGTATGTTTAGATAGAAAATTCCAGAGGGCAGTTGGAAATAAAGTAGAAGCTACATTTCTTAGCATTGGTTTAATGACTTTTTACCTATTTAAATATGATTTTTAAAAATGTGTTGTATTTCTTAACTAATTTTTATTATGTGTAAGGTCCAATTATTTTGATAAAATGCATGTATGTTATAATAAAATTAATTGAAATTAGAATTATGGTAATAGAACTTTGGACTTTTGTAAAATAGATGTAATTTAGCTTAACTGCTTTTTTGTTTTATGGCTTGTTTTTATTCAGAGCAAAAAAGTAATGTAGTTAAGTTCTGCTTCATAGAACAAGCATAAACCTGAAGGTTTGGGAGAAAGTCACCATAAACATATAAAATGGGTAAAATTTTAAGTGGCCAGAATTAAGGGGATGTATGGTTCCAGGAAAAGCTGCCTTCTAAGGCCGGATATTGATTTAAAAGTACACAGACATTGTCTGAAATAACTAGCACAATTAAAGCACCAGTGGGATCAAAATTTATACATCTTGGAGCCCATCTGTTCTCCAGATCACCCTGGTGCTTCTTTAAGAACATTAATACTTTGAGCAAGCTGCTTTTTTGATTCACCTGTCATGCAAATTATTTAATTGGTGTGGAAAATTTCTTAACACTTTTTTTTCGTGTCCTGTTTTTTGTTGGGACTAAATTCAAAATAAGTTGAGTATGAGCCACAGAGTTAAGTATGGTATTTTATTTTGGTTTTCTGGCTGTATATATGCCAACTCCTTTTTGACTGAATATTTATGAGTCTTCATGATTTGCATGCATACAGTGATATACTTCAATTGGTTACTTCGGAGACTTTTTGGGTAAAATTAATGAAAAGAAAGTATTATATGTATTATATAACATTGGCTTGAATAGATGCTTACTCTAAAGCTTTAACCTAATAAGATCTAGTAGCAGCAAGACAACAATAGCTTATTGAAGCCTTAAATTGTTGTTTGTCTTGTTGGATTTACTAAATGTTCACTAACAACCTGTAGGCACTTGTAAGTTTTTCCTGATGATGTGAACCCTGACAGGACTGATTTATGTATAATGGCCCAGTAAAAGTCATCAATACCTCATTTTGGTGTGTTAGATCAGCAGGTAGACTTATTTCACTTAGATATTTTCATAATTTTACCTAATAACTTAAAAAATTATGCTACAGATTTTGCTGCAATTTGTATTGTGAATATTAATGAAAGTTAATGGCAATATAAAATATTGTTTCTTAAAATAATATTAACATCATATATTACTATAATTTATTAAACACTTGCTATTATGGTCTGAAATTATGTATGTATATTTTTAGCTGGTTGTTCTGAGAATTATCCTGCAGAACAAAAATGAGTATAACTTTAGAGATACTTTCTTCCTAAGGCTTTTTTACTGCAATCAGATTCATTCTTTTTCACCTCATTTCATAGCTCCTTTTAACCATGAGCATGAAGATATCAATGATTTTTTTCATTTTTTTTCTGAGATTTGTGACTGTGATGAAATTGTATTTTATTAATTTGTCAGTTTTAGTTTGTTTTTTTGAGTTGGGTTAACTTTGAGGGGAGCAATCGGTTTAAGTATAGGTTTATGAAGCAAACAGTTTTTAATTCGCTACTTCTAATTGTTTTGGAGGCACTCTGGTGGTGTAGTAGTTATACATTTGGCTACTAACCGAAGGTCAGCCGTTCAAAACTACCAGCCACTCCAAAGGAGAAAGATGACGCTTTCTACTCCCATAAAAAGTTTCAGTCTCAGAAACCCACGGGGCCAGTTTGACTTGCCTTAGGGTCACTGTGAGTCAGAATCAACTCGATGGCAGAGAGTGAATTGTTGTATGGATATGACGTCACAGCTAGGTTATAAGTACGTAGACATCTGGGCTGGATCTCAGTGGAGCTCAATTCAATTATTAATAATAGTAAACTTTAAATGTGTGGATATATAAATGTAAATAGAGAGGGCTTTAAAAAAATCCCAGAAGAGTAGAATTAACCTAGAATGGAATTTTCAAGGTGAACTTTTTGGAGCTCCTTCATATACCCCAAACCAAGCCCATTTATATATAGTTGATTTCAACTCATAAAAATAGGATTTCTAAGACTGTAAATCTTTAATAGAGATATACAACCTTATCTTTCTCTCATGGAGTGGCTGGTAGATTTGAACCACCAACTTTTCCATTAGCACACTACTAATCCCAGAGTACCACAGATGCTCCCTTGTACATACATATATGTGGAACACACACACACACACACACACACACACACACACACACACGTTATTTTGACTTTGCAATCAAAATCGTTTTCCTTACCCGTACCACCAGGTTGAAGGATCTTTGGTGGCTTATGTATTGAACTGCTGAAAGCAAGGTCGGCAGTTTGAACCCACCAGCTGCTTGCCCAGGAGAATGATGAGGCCATCTGTCCCCATAAAGCCGTAAAAAAAATCTCAGAAATCCAAAGGGAGAGTTAGTTGTGTGCTATCCAACAGGGTTGAGATGAATCAGAATCGACTCGATAGCTGTGGATTTGGGTTGGGGGTTTTAAAATAGACTTATTAAATATAAAGGTTAAGGTTTTAAATGTAGTTTTAGTCTTTCCAATTTCAGATATTTCTCAGGGTTTGGGGGCTCTCACTTGTCATTTTGTTGTCAGACTAAATATTGAAAATTTCATAGGTTTATATATTATGTTCAGTTGATTTCACAGATGTGTAGCTTTCTAACTATGTAGGTTTTTCTTTTTCTTTTCTAAATTCTAGTGACAGACTGGATATTGGAAAGAGATCCCCATGAAGAAATATTGAAGGCCTTTAAATTATTTGATGATGATGATTCGGGGAAAATAAGCTTGAGGAACTTGCGGCGTGTTGCCCGAGAATTGGGTGAGAACATGAGTGATGAAGAACTCCGGGCAATGATAGAAGAATTTGATAAAGACGGTGATGGAGAAAGTAAGTTTGAATAAAGCATACTTTTCCAAATATTCCTGACACTACATATATAGTTAATATTTAGAAAACCAAATGATTTTCAATGCTTTTTGCAAAGTATCTCTTTTCACTCAGTGTTGTTCATCTTTCCTTTGCATATATGTTATATGTTCAATTTAGAATTAAAGAGATCTTTAAAGCCAGCTACAGAAGTTGTAATTTGAGCTTCTACACTATAAGAAGTTATTTATTTATCTCTGTAGGTGAAACATCACCAGAATTTCAATTACTTGAATTAAAACTTAGTCTTTAATGTCTTATTCTTCCTTAGAATACATGTACTTTTAAACTGCTTCTAAGGTTTAATGATTTTCCCTTTCAAATATTTTCAGTCTGTCTTATTTATTTGTTCAGTGTTGCTGTACTTATGGATTGACTTTTATTTTTTTGCTAGAAATAATAGCCTCATATTATTTTAATATATTATTATAATAAAGCCCAAACCAAACTCACTGCCATCAAATTGATTCTGACTCAGAGGCCAATAAGCCACTTATCTCTTCTCTTCATTTTAATAATAGCTTTTGTACCTAAAATATAGGACTGATGATATTTCCCTGTTCAAACTTAAAAAAAAGAAATCATTTTATTGGAGGCTCTCATAACTCTTATCATAATCCTCACATACATCCATTGTGTTAAGCACATTAGTACATATGTTGCCAGCATAATTATCAAAACATTTTCTTTCTTCTTGAGCCCTTGATATCAGCTCCTCATTTTCTCCCTTTCCCATTCCCTTCCCTCATGAACCCTTGATAATTTATAAATTTTTTTCCCTCCAAACATTTTTTTCTTCTTGAGCCCTTAATATCAGCTCCTTATTTTTCCCCCTTCCCCACCCTCTCTCCCTCATGAACCCTTGATTATTTATAAAAATTTTTTCCCTCCAAACATTTTGATGTCTGTATAGTCAAGCTCAAAGTCTATGATCTGCCTGATCTGCCCTCCCTTTAAGCATATGGTCTTGTTTCCCATTGTATCCTCTCACTTGTCTACTTTAACCCTTCATAAATATACTCTTTGACAAAACACTTTATCCTGAAAACATTTTTTTTTATGCCATGACTTTTTCAAGTTTGTTCCTATAATGACATACTTGTTTTCCAACACCTCCCTCCCTTTTTTATGTCTGCTAAAATGTTAATCATTCTTTTCCCTAGAAGTCTTCCCTAATAGTGTCTTTTGGTGTGAATTATGTGACATCCATTCAGGACCCATGCCATGTAGAAGAATAAACTTTTTTAATATCTTAAAAATCTGCTTTCTGCTGCATGTGTGCCTGTCCTCCCAAGTTAAATTTTAAGCCCTCTCAAAGCTGCACTAGGGATGCAGATTTGGGATTGACTTAATGACAGTGAGATTTAGTGAGTTATGGGTTATAAGGGACCTTGGTGGTGGTATGGGCTATTTGTTAGGCTGATAACCTCAAGGTTAGCAGTTTGAAACTCTGAACCTTCCCATGGGAGAAAGATGAGACTTTCTACTCCAAAAAGATTTACAGTCTTAGAAGCCCACAGAAGCTGTTTTACTCTAGTCTATAGGTCGCTGAAATGGAAAGAACTAAAAGAAAAAGTCAAGCCTCAAATTGCAATATTGAAAGATGCTATGGGCAAAATACTGAATGATGCAGGAAGCATCCTAAGAAGATGGAAAGAATATAGAGTCCCTATACTAAAAAGAACTAGGCAACATTTCCATAATTTCAGGAGGTAACCTAGAGCAAGAACCAGTGGTACTGAAGGAAGAAGTTCAAGCTGTGTTGAAAGCATTAGTGAAAACAAAGTTCCAGGAGTTAATGGAATACCAATTACAATGTTTCAATAAGCTGATGAAGTACTGGAAGCACTGAACTATTCCAAGATTTTAGAAGACACTGTTTGACCAAATGACTAGAAGAGTGTACCCATTCCAAAGAAGTGACCCAGCAGAGTGTACAAATTATAGAGCGTTATCATTGATAACGCATGCAAGTAAAATTTTACAGAGGTTTATCCAATAACAGTTACAGCAGTACATTGACAGGGAGCTGTCAGTTTAAGGCTGGGTTCATAAAAGGATATGGAACAAGAGATATCATTGCTGACATCAGATGGATCTTAGCTGAAAGTAGTGAATGTGAGAAAGATGTTTACATGTGTTTCATTATGCAAAGGCATTCAGTTTTGTGGATCATGAACTATGGATAGCCTTGAGAAGAATGAATATCCCAAAATGCTTCATTGTGCTCATGAGGAACTTGTACATGAATTAAGAGGAAGTTGTGTGAATAAAACGAGAATACTGCATGATTTAAAATCAGCAAACAAATGATCTTTTAAAAAATTATATAAGTAAGTAAATAAAATCAGCAAAGGTTTTCATCAGTGTTGCCGGGCAAATAACCTGAGAAGATGAGTTAGATAAAGAAGAATAAAATGATTTTAAAAAAAGTAGAAGAATCTGGTATCAGGATTAGAGGAGGCTTATTACCAACTTTCGATCTGCAGATGATAAAATCTTGCTTGTTGAAAGTGAGGACTTGGGAAGTACTTGCTGATGAAAATCAAGGATTTCAGTAAAGCGAAGAATTACAATTAAATGTACAGAAAAAATCCTCTCAGAAATAGACCATAAGTAACATAATAAATGGAGAAATGATTGAAATTGTCAAGAATCCACAATCGGTGCATAATTATGGAAGTAGCACAAGCTACTAATTGCATTGGGTATATTTGCTGCACAAGACCATTTTAAAACATTAAAAAATATGGATGTTACTTTGAGGACTAAAAGCACTGACCCAAGCCATGGTATTTTTGTATTTTCATTTGCCTCATATGTATGGGAAAGTTGGACATTGAATAAAGACGACCAAGAAAAATCCATACATTTGAACTATGGTGTTGGTGAAGAATATTGAAAATACCAGAGTCTGCCAAAAGAACAAACATCTCTCTTGGAAGAAGTATAACTACAGTGCTCCTTAGAGGCAAGGATGTTGAGACTATCTCGTGTACTTTGGATGTTATCAGGCGAGAACAGTCTTTGGACAGGGACATCATGCTTGTTCATGTAAAGAGACAGTGGAAAAGAGGAATGCTCTTGATACATTGGCTGCAACAGGGGCCTCAAACATAAGCACCATTGGAGGATGGCCAGGACCTGGCGGTGTTACCTTCTGTTGTACATAGGGTCGCTATGAGTCAGAACAGACTCAATGGCACCCATGAAGAAAAACACCACCAACGTAGTATATTTATGAGTTGATGAATTTTGGAGACTTTAAATGATGTATGGAATTGTATAGCAGGAAAGGACAGTTTCAAAAAGGCTTTTGGCTGTGAAATTACATAGATCTGGCTTTGAATTAAAAGGAACCCTAGTGTCATAGCAGACTATGCACTGGACTGCTAATCACAGGCAGATCAAACCCACCAATTAGTCCTTGGGCGAAATAAAAGGTTGTCTGCTTCTGCAAAGATTTATAGACTCAGAAACCCACAGGGGGTAGTTTACTCTGCCGTGTAGGGTAAAGTTGATGGCAGTGCGTTGGTTTGTTTATTTTTTGGCTTTGAATAGAAGATTATTCGTTTTATTGCTATGTAATTTTGAGTAAGTTTTCAACACTTTTAAGTCTCAGTTTTCCCCTTTGTAAAAATCCAGATTGTAATACCTTTCAGCATGGTTGTATTGCTTGAGAATTTTGAAGGTGCTAGCATTAAATGTAAACTGGTTGTATTTTCTTTTCCTCTGTATTCATTTTGCTTTTCTCTGCACTTTCTTGAACATAGTGGATGGTACAATGCATGCTGATTTAAAGCCTGGAGGAGGGCTATATATTGATACAGTATGAACTATGCATATTTCTAAAAACAAATACTGTCCAGTTGATTTCAACTTATGGCAACCCCCATGTGTGTCAGAGTAGAACCTTTCTCCATGGAGTTTTCAGTAGCTGATTTTGTAGAGCTAGATCACAAGGCCTCTCCATTAGCAGCTCAGCATGTTAGCCACTTGTGCAACACAGAAACGTCAAACATATGAGAGGGCTTCAAAAATCCATGGAAACATTCCATTATATATTTTATTAAATACTTTTATTGGGGCCTCATATCTTTCATCACAATCCATACATTCATCCATTGTGTCTAGCACATTTGTACATATGTTGCCATCATTTTCAAAGCATTTTCTTTCTACTTGAGCTCTTGGTATCAGTTCCTCATCCCCACCCCCCACTCCCCGCTTCTCCCCGCTCCCCCCACCC